GAAATAGCATGGGGTACAAGGGCCTGAACCAGCATTGAGGCAAGACAAGCTGACATTAGAGAGAAAGAAAAGCCATGAGTATGCAGATCAGCAAGTCTGGGGAGAAAAACAAAGTAAATCAGAGAAAAAGAAAGAAGACAATGGGAGCCCTAGAAGAAATGGATGAAATCATCCTCGTTCTCCCATGGCCCAGCAGCACTTCATGTATGTGGAGGTGTGTCCTCCTAATACATTCTGCTTTTACTTCAGCTACTCTATGTGTTTCTGTTTCCACAGGTAAAAGAGAACTCAAATAACAGTATCCGTCTTATCAGTATCAGCAGAGAAATACTTAATAAGGACCAGGCCTAAAATAGTATCCATGTTTTGGCAGAAAAACCATACCACCAGCCTTTATCAGAGAAGTTGCCTCTTTGTTACAGAACCGCTGTCAAAACCCAGAGGCCTACAGTGAAAAGCAGGTGAGAGATGTGGGCTAAGAGCATCTCAAGGATTTTTTTTGTTCTTAAGATCCAGACATGCTTTATTTTCATATTAAGTCTGTAAGAATGTTCTTCCTTTACATATACACAATATCTGTTCTCTGACATTCTCCTGGTCTATATTTTGTTTTGTGCTTTCTGTAAAGATAAAGATATAAGAAAAGACGACTAGAGTGACAACATATACCAAGGCACACTCAGCCGTGCTGGCTGAGAGGTAACAGTACAGGAGATAGTGGTAAACTAGACAGCAATTTCCTCCCGAAGGAGAACAATCATTTCTCAGACTCAACTAACTTCACCATATAGGCCCTAAATTCTAATTTTCAAGAAAAGCCAAAAATCAAGATTTGTATGTAAAGTTCCTAGTTTTTAAATGTTGTCAGTAAATTTACTTTTCCTCTAAAATGATGTATGTCAGTTCACTGGCTGCCAATATGCAGTCCTACTGTGGACCTCTGTGCCCTTTTAGGACTTCCTAGATTTGTTTATTTAATTAACATCTATAATACGCAAGGTCTGTAGTTCTATATTAGGCAAAGCATTGTAAAGGTTGAACCTCATTTATTTTTCTACTCATGTTATTTTAAATTCAATATCTCCTTCCTCAGAGACAACTTAAAACCAATATCATTAACATCTTCTTAGTTATCAATTAATAAAGTTCCAAACCATGCCATTTAGTCTGAAAGAGCAGCAATGCAAACTCTTCAAATTTAATTGCCTAGGCTAGGTTGAAAAACTGTTTACAAATGCTATGCCACTTATGTAAATACCACATCTGGCCTCTAGGCCTTTGTAACTGCTATTCTTTTAGCCTGGAAGGGCTGCCACTTCTTGGAAGCCTTATTTACTTCTTTATCCTGAACTTACCCCTCAGAGCTCACTGCAAACATTGTTGAAATCATGCCCTCACTGTTTATCTCCCTAAGCAAACTACATATATAT